GATGATATCGGCAGCAGGTGTTGATGGGATGACGATCGCCAAGAGTAGAGGATTAAAGCTGCTGCTGTTGCTGCCAGAGGTTCATGGATCCAGCCGCCTGGCGTAAAGGAGCTGGATGGGAACGAATAAACCCATTACGTTATATTTCGATAAAATTGTGTTTTTTTCTTCTTGGTATATTATATTATTTTATTATGTTTTATTTTTATTATTTTATTATTTCCCTTCTACGTGACTTTACCGAAATAACCAAGAAGATGAATCCCTGCAGTCACGAAAGCTTTAAATCGAAATTTATGTTTTTCTATCTCTCTCTTTCTCTTATAACCTGTATTGGCTATGCTCATATCACCACAATACATGTACCCGAAAGTCATCATGTTTGGGAATCTAAGCAGCAGGGTTGAGCCTGGTTAGCATTTAAATGAATGAGCACCGCGTCTTGCCAGGGCTGGGGTGGGGTGTGTGATGCGGGCCAGGAAATGGTTGCGGAGTGTCACAATCCGTCGTCTGCGTGGGTGTTCCATGGGGAGTTGCCGGTTTCCTCCCGTGTACCACTCGTTCATGGAAATTGCCAAAGATCCCAATGCAGAAATCGCAGACTGCCCCCCCCCCCCCCCAGGAAAGGATTGCATTATTATTCTTGGTTCTTTCGGTAAAGTCACGTGGAAGGGAAATAATAAAATCATATTAATATAAAAGCTTTAAATCAAGATTGTATTATTGTTGCAACAACCATGAACTAGAATTAAAATATTCTCATTTATACACAGCGTGAGAAAAAAACGTATCCTACTTTGAATATATTCTTTGTTTCATTTCAATTTAAACGGCATTAAGAGTGTGCGGGTCATTCGAGTAAACGCTTTAAAAAAAACGTAAACCTGCAGATGGGATTATGGATCTTAGGGGAGGTGCAATGATTACTGGACGAAAAATGTTCACTCTTGCAATGATTAACCGTCCTATTTCAAAGAGGACATTGCGGGTGGGGGGAGCGTCCATGCTCATTCCACTCGTTCGCTGAAAGCGGCTTGATGAATGCTACAACTTCTTGCCAAAGCTAAGCAGATATATCCTTTTAATCAGAGCTGCATAAGGAATAACTTGCTCGAGTAACGCTTTCAAATGCAACTTAAATAAAAATAAAGCTGTGCGAGTATACGACCGTAGCTCGCGAAGCTTAAACCGTAATGCCAAGACGCCCTCTTGCGTTCGAGCCGTGGACAATGTAGCGAGGGTTACCGACACATACGATTGTGTGTGCCGAGAGCTACTTCGTGTATTACAAACGCGAATTATAAACAGGACCCTGCGGGGTGGGCTGGTATGAACGAATAACCAAAGAATATAAACATAATGTATTATTACACTTGTTTGGCCAGGAAAGCCCCACTGAGTCTAAAGGTTTTTGTAGGGTCAGGCCAAGTGTTTGCAGTAGGGGGCGATGTTGCTACACGGACGGACGGACGATATAATCTGTTGTAGGCTGGTCCACTTCGTTCCTACCAGTATAATGTGGACATGCACAGCCCAAGCAACTTAGCCCGTGTCGCACCAATGGTGACGTGGGCCCAGACGAAGCGCGTTTGTCGCTTGTTGCAAAATGTTCACGGTTCAAATCCAAGCGGTCGCCCTGGTTATTTACTGCGCGCGTATATTTACCATAATAATACTATGCGCCGTCTGCTTCACAGAACAATACTGATGTTAAGATCCCCTAAGCCACTGTGTGCCCAATTAGAGAAGCACCCGCAAATGACTGCACTTGGGGCTACGTACATCAGCAATCATCACCTCTTCCCTACGGGCAGACTCATGCCCCAGTTCACTTTTGCACATGAGACTTATTCTGGTCGCTTGACTCTCTCACCTTGTTAAACCAAATAGACTTTAACAAAATAAAGAGTCCTAGCAACGTATCGTCACCTCCGAGTAGCACGGTTGTCTGCGTACGGTGCGAAAGAAGTTCAACGTTCAATAGACATGCACATCCGTTGAGTTAATTTGCTGGGCCATGGCAGTTTTTTGGGACTAATGTTCACAGAAGCAATGAAAAAAAACAAGAGATCAGTCAACTGATCAGTTATACCAATGATGGAACAAAATATAGGCATTGTCAATCCACTGATGAATCATGTTCTTCACTCACTATGGGTGTCGTGGGGGTTATTTGACCATTCTTCACCGTGTGTTGATCAGTGCGTCGGTTTTATCAACTTCAGTCTTACTGACTTAATTTGGAGCTTTCGTGACTGCAGGAATTATTCTTTGGTTCTTTCGGTAAAGGCACGTATAAAGATAAAATAAAATAATAAATTAAATAGTATTAAATTTAATTTATTATTTAATTTATTATTTTATCTTTATACGTGACTTTACCGAAAGAACCAAAGAATAATTCAGTCTTACTGTTCAAACGAGCAGTGGAGGCGGCGTTCGCCTCAATTGGTGGCCAAAGCCAATGGTGACGATTCCACGTTACCATGGCGGGGGCTAGTCTATTCACCACTTTTGACTTCCAACTGATGTCATGATCGAGTCTTGGTTATTCCATTGCTGGATGAAGGCCTCTTCCAAACGGCTGCCATTTCTCACGAGCTAACCATATCGCAGTGATGGGCAACCTAAACAAAGATCCCCCATATAGCCTTAACATACAGTTGGGGCAAGTGCTGTTAGCGAACACCTATGAAGGCCAGAACAGGGGCGAGTGGCCAGCAACCACGCACGAACGGCTCTCTCCCCCCCGGTGGCGACATTTACACACCACGCCAAGTACTCATTTGAGGCCGAGTCAACCTTGGGGAGGCCCACGACCAGTTCAGATATTCGTCACTGGTGAACTGGGATCGCCGGATCCGTAGCACAGCGCGTTAACCACTACACCACCGCTCCCACAGGCCATAGGTTTCCCATCACTGCCATATAGTCGATGTATCATGCACTCGACATTAATGAAAAAATGAATGTACACTAAAAGATTGGAACAAAAAAAACCTTTAGATTTTTTCCAATATTTCAAATATTAGATTTTTGTTTATGTTTTCTGCTTCCAGGCAAGAGCATTGTAAATATAAATCTGAACTTCTATTATCAAATTAAATAGCAAAAGAATAATAAAACTGCTGAAGGCTGTCGTTGTAAGGCTCATGCTCAAAGTGAACTTAGGTTTTGTTCCAGATGTACAGTATTGTAAATAAGAATGATAAATAATTAGATAGAAGACAATGCCTTAAGGCTGTCGTTGAACGGTCAGCAGTCTGCAAACAGCACTTTTCTACTTTCCAGAATATTCACTTTCAACCTATCTCTTTTATACAGGGTGGTCCGAAAAGTCTGGACACAAACGGATATTTCATTTATTTCAACACTGGCATTAAACATTTTAATTGTTTACTATTTAAGTCAAAATTGTATATATTATCATTATACTTTGTTCTTATTCCTTTTCAGATTAAAATTAACAATGGAAATAGAACTGCCAAAAGACAGACGAGTTAATTTTTTTGCTATGCTAAAAAAGGCAAGCTTTAAAAAAAATGTCCTAAATAAATTTAAAAAGAGAATTCATGCATGCATTAATGTAAATGGAAGTTTAGTTTCAACACTTGTTAAAAAATATGAAATCACCCTCTGTGTCATTTGTAAATTTAAATATGTTACCTAACTTTTGGGCCACACTGTATGCACCGGTCACCTACGTTTGGAGAGGGACCAGTGAGTGTTCTTTTACTGGTAGGAACCTCCTGGTTACACCAGCCCACAGAGGATTATTGTGTCCGTCCGTCCGTCGTGAAGGGAGGGGCTAGGTGGGGAGGGTGGGGCTGGGTGAAGAGGGGCTGGGTGGGGAGTGGGAGGGGTGGGGCTGGGTGGGGAGGGGCTGATCACCCCGTGGTGCCCTTATAAAACTCAACGTTTAACCTACTCACGCCAGCTTGTGCCCACCCTCACAGTCGGCCATATTTGCGGAATACACCACGCCGCCGTTGACCCTGGCCATTGACCGAGCAACCCAACGTTCCTACCAGCTCCCTCCGCAGGAATGTGTTTTCATTATATTTTTTATTTTCGGCATGAAAAACAAAACATCAAAAGGAAAACACATTTTCCAATGTTCTCAGAGAGGGATCAACGTGCACGTCAAAACATCGATATATCAGAACCGAAGCATCGACGTCAACGATTAGACGTTTTTTGCCTATCTATATAACGAGCTCATATAATCACTCTATCTCATCGGTACAAATATTCTTTGATTGATGCATTCCATTCCTTGGTTGCCAATCCCATCATTATTCCTCACCATCTGCAGTGATCCCTTCGAGGGGACATGTCCCGAACAAACCCACTTCCTTTCCTAAACAGCATGAACTCATCTTTAGTTCTTTCGGTAAAGTCACGTAGAAAGAAAATAAATTAAATAATAGAATACGACGTCTTCTTGGTTCTTTCGGTAAAGTCACGTAGAAGGGAAATAATAAAATAATAACAATAAAACATAACAAAATACAATTTTCACGACGTTTCGGCCACAACGCAAGCAGCCGTCCTCAGGTGAAGAACAGGTCTGTCGGAAAGACAGCGTCTGAATGAACACCACCAAGCTTGGCAGCGTATATTTAAGCTGGGTTAGGGGAGGAAGGGCGCCTTGACAAAGGAATTGGCATATCAACAGAGGAATTTAGCATATTTATGGGAAATGCAGATATGGGATTAGTCACTACTTGTGGAATGCGTAGGAGGGGGGGGGGGTCTCAAAGTCATATTATTATTTTATTATTTCCCTTCTACGTGACTTTACCGAAAGAACCAATAAGATGAATCCCTGCAGTCACGAAAGCTTTAAATCGAAATAGAATACGACGTTTCGATTGCAACACAAGCAACCGTCATCAGGTAACTTGACTTCAACCTGCGTTCGAATACCAATTGCACCGGGGCGCCCAACTCTCTTCACGCAGGCGAAAAAACGCAAACACGACAAGTCAACGCATCGGTCATGTATAACGAAATTTATTTCACGTACAAACATAATGGCACAAATAATATGAACACAACAAATACGGCATTTGTATATATTCAGTTTGAGAAGGCAGTGGGTAAGGACAGCGTAAGAAAGACATGTTAATGTTGAGACAAGCTTTTGGCCTTGATAATAGGACCAATCAATTGCACTGGTCTGTCATGGATGTACATGATTAACTGGATCTCGCAAGAGAGAATTCAATTAGAGTAACAGCACTGTTAGGGTACATTTTTTTGTGTTTTTTTTTTAAAGGTTTTTCGTGTGTGTGTGTTTTAGTCTCCAGCATTACTGGCAATATACCACGGCCACCATATGTAACAAGATACCATACATGGAGCATACTTTTGAAAAAACCAACACCAAACAGCAATACAGACAACCCTTTCCCACACCATTATGGACAACAGAATAGTTTAAACAAGTTACCAAATTAGGTATGGATACATATATATAATTTTTGGTTACCCTTGTGATAAACTTTTTAAATGATCAAAACATTAAAAAAAAAGAAAATTTCTGCAAGTTTCAGTTATAAACCAAATAATTTATATTACATATTTATATCATCAACCAGGAGTAAAAACTTGTCATCTACCTTTCATAAAACGCACATACATGAAACTCATTCATTGCCAAACGTGTCATCACTGCATTGTTTTCAGAGTATATAATAATGGTAGTGAATACTGCCCCCTGCTGAGCAGTTGTATCATACAGGGTACTGCACTAGGACTCATTAACAATGCAAGGCTTTCTTTCATATTAATCATATTTTGCAAGCCTCCAAACCCAAAGGAATCCAGCACGGCATAAACATTCAACGAGAAAGGTTGAACCCGACATAGAAATTGGGAAAATAATTCCCTGGCCATAGGGGCGTGTGTATGTGTTCGTGATATATGTAGGAGGGATGTTGCTCCCAACTTTTAAATAAACCGTAAAAAAAAAAGAATCAAAAATTCAGGCCGAGATACAAAATTTGGCTGATCCGTGGGTATAATAAAAAAAATCGGATTTATGCAAAAGTATAACTTTGTGGGAAACGTCACAATGCCACTTCTGCAATTTTTCAAGTGGCTTCAAGTGTGGTAACGTCACTTTTGTTCAATAACCCGATCGTGTAAATGCTCTGAAAATCAGAACATCTGAAATTATCCTCACAAATCTCCCCCAAGAATAGTATATATATTTTAATCCTAAACTCATCCCTAATATGTACTGTTTGCTACACTTTTGGGTACAACTTTGATTCACAACACACGAGTATGAGAGACAGTACACACACAATTCGCCGTGTGTTCAATACAAAACGCGTCACTGACAGCAACAGGTGGCGTGCGTGGCGAGTCGCTCCCAGGATTTGGAAAGGGCACCGCTAACTTTCGTGAAAGTTGCCACAAAAAGGGGCCATCGCTTATAGAGAGAGAGAAAACGTGCCCCCCCCCCCCATCCACTGGCAGAACCCGTGTGTGGGACGCGGGCCAATTGCAACCATTCATTTCATCACGGGTTGTTGTGTGTGTGTGTGGGGGGGGGGGAGTATTAAAACAATGTGTCCAAGTGTCACAAAGATCATATTGTATCCCTTTTTTTCAAGTTCAATTACCTAAATAAAAGCCAGATGCCAACACACAAAACAAATTGGCACACGAGGGTTAGTGGAGGGGGCGCGGCCAGATGAACGAAGTGAATGTTACGACCAAATTGGAGCGTACCAATTTGTTATGCAGCCCGAAAAGTGCCAGTTAAAAAATAAAACGTCTTGTGTTTATTATACATTAATAAACGTGAGCGAGTTTCAGTGTTCTACCAATTCATTTACTTGAATGGATTGCGAGGACCTGATTTAATGTGAACCACAACAAAGACCCAACTACTAAATACCTAGAGGGGTGGGTGGGGGAGGGGGGGTCCCTAAAACCCATTCTATCCACAAGTGTACAAACACGTACATACTGACAAGTAAGGGTTTGGGTTACACACCGTGTTAAGCCTTTTTTCTCTCAAAGAAAAATTCAAGGGCAAAAAACAAGTCATGTCGAGATGAACATTGCATACGACGTGTGTGAATATACAGATAGACAATCACACATGCCCTGCGAGGGTTTGAATATTTTACGTTGTCATTCCACCGTCTTCTACAAGAACCCCGACGTAATAATTGGGCTCGGAGGAATCTACAGAGTGTAAATAATGACTATTTACCATTGCAGTGACAATGCAGTGTGTTGATCGTGAAACAAAAAAACAACAAAAACACAAATTTCGAGTCTGTTAAGTTAAAGCAAGTCTAGGCAGCCAAAGGGTGGGCCTTATGGTGGGAGAAAGCACAGCGCTGGGACAGCCGTCACGCACAATTATTGTTTTTGTCTCAAGCACTGTAATTCAACACGAAAAAATGTATGTACACAAACCTGCATAAGAATGAGGTAATGTTCCTTACTCATATTTTATATGATACTGAAGTTTACACTCTAAACATACAAAAAGAACACTTTTAGAAAGCCAGAAACCTTTGTATAAATTTCCATTGAGGCACGTGATGTATGATTTTTAGCCACCTCCAAATTTTAAGCCTTTTTTTTCTTTCATATATTTTTTTTACTCGCTATTCTTTAAAAAAAAAATTCTCCCACGTCACTAAGTGTAAGCTCAGTTTTTTAACCGACGTGTTATTTTAAGATCACTATACAGTAGCTCAGAACCCACCACCAACGAAGCAAGTCACGCGGAGCCGACGGACTTAAACTGACCAAAACTTTAAACCACATGACACTTTTAGTACCGTCCGTGTAAATAAATGTACCTGTTAATTTCAAATCACAGTAACGCGTAAGACGGCACAGAGTGCTTTCTTTCCCCTTTACAGAATCACATTCCACAGACCGACACAACAGTCTTGATTATAGAAACACTTTGCTGGCTGCTGAACTGCACTTGTAAAATGACTAAAAGGCATTTCCCGGTGAACTGTCGTAAACACACATAAATGCAGCCTTTGGATGGATATTTAAATGCTCTGTGTTTTTTTTTTATATATATAATCTTTCAGTATTATTTTCCCATTTTTTGTTTCTGTTTTCTCCTAGGAATACCCTTATTTTTGAGTTACAAACCACTTGATATTTTGTACGGACTACAGCATAGGCACCCAATGTTAATTTCCAAAAAGAAGGCAGGACACAGTATCAATACACAGTCAAAGTTAATCCAAGGCCCCTGGGAATCTTTGCAATGTTATTGCATCAATTGCAACGTCTAGTAAAATGCAAAGGTGACTTCTTTTTTTTAAACAAATAACCACCGTCTTTTACATCAGCGCATCCAAACGGAACTCGTTCCTTGTACCGTGAAAAAAATCTTTAAGTACAAGCGTGTGAGGTTCAGTTATGACAAACGGGATATCTAAAACGTATAGATAAATGGGTGGGGGAATTGAGGGCAGAAATAGTTTGGTTAATGTTGTTCAGACCGATTAAATTCCAAATGCCTTCACTTTCACGATGAGCGACACAAAGTGATTTCTTTCACAAAGACAAAAAAAAAATGTGCAACTAGACTATGTGCAGATATGACGCGATGGTTGACTGAACGAGGGGAAAAAAATATGAACTTTCTAAATAAGCCGGAAATGTGAATAAAGCATCGCAGGGGTGCGGGCGTATGAGGGGAGGAAGGGGGTTGTTAAATTAAAATGAAACGACGACAAGTACCGATTGGTTTCCTACGACAGCAAAAATATCCAGTCTCTTCTACAAAATACTTTCCAAAAAATATACACTGTTTATAGAAATAAATCTAAGGTGTACCCCAATAGCCACTCTTTTGCAGTATAATAAAATACAAGATGCTTCAACATCTACAATTGTTCTGTATTTTTTTACGACTAAATCACCCATCCCTTAAGCCTCCCTTACTTAAGCAGTACCAAACATACCTTAGTAATCCTCTAACCTGTTGCTAGAGTGTTGTCACAAGGCTCAAACATGTTTTTAGACGATATCCCAAACAGGGTCTGAGGCACTGGTACTTTACAAGTGATTTTTGTTTTGAAGTTTGTTTATCGATTGTACAGGTTGGCATGGGGCTTAGTCTTTAACCAGCTTGTAGATGTGATGTTGTGCACCGTGCTCACTTGTGGACACCTCAAATACGTACGCCACACACAGCAGCGTCTCCTGCGTATCTCGGTTGGTTACAACCTGCAGTGCGGTCAGGGACGAGGAGCAGAAGAAAAAGAAACACACGCAGAGTTAGAGCATCTGGTCAAAACACAAAACCCTTTTGCCATTGCGATGACGTACGTGTACGTTTTTCTTTCTATAAACAGTGTCAATAACTTTCGATTTAAAGCTTTCGTGACTGCAGGGATTCATCTTCTTGGTTCTATCGGTAAAGTCACGTAGAAGGGAAATAATAAAATAATAAAAATAAAACATAATAAAATAATTCTCACGACGTTTAGGCTACAACGCAAGCACCTGAGGACGGCTGCTTGCATTGCGGCCGAAACATCGTGAGAATTATTTTATTATGTTAAATTTTAATTATTTTATTATTTCCCTTCTACGTGACTTTACCGAAAGAACCAAGAAGATGAATCCCTGCAGTCACGAAAGCTTTAAATCGAAATTTTACGTAGCAATGAGTTTGAATGAAAAGTTAGCTAAGCCAGGATTGGTAAAATAAAATAATAGAGCCTTATGTTGAGGCAAAGAAGCCCGCGCAGTTGGCAAGTTTTGGGGGCATGGATTATTTATTACGAACAAAATTCGCATTTCAATTAAATGTATAATAATATTTTTAAAAACAATTAGTAAGCCAAAAAAAACTTGGTTTGAAATTAGCTTTTTTGGCACAAATAGACGGAATTACTCGTGTAAAAGCTTTTGGAGAATCAACAGAGTGAGTAGAAAAATACATACTCTTTAGCAAATGTACTGCACTCACAAACCAACACACGTTAAAATGTCCATATGTTTTTAATAAATGAACATAGGATGCAGAGAAATGTCTTTTCATTCGTGTAAGTGTAGCAATTTCGTCCACCTCTTCTCAGATACCCACAGCTCGAAACAATACTTCTTTTTTCTTGCAAAGGATTACCAAGAGCACTACATAAAATTAGTCTAATTTGGAGCCACATTAAAGCAAAAACTGAGTTGTAAATAATCGATTCAAGGAGTGGAGAAGCACAACTGCCAAGACTCTGTGTACTCCCGCGGCTCGTAACTCTTAAGGCATCACTTCAAAGCGATGTCTGTGAGAGTGTGTGTGGAATCAGGCGCCGGTGACCAGCACAAATGTTTTATTCCTTTTCGTCCAAGCTGACGATAAAAGGGACTTTTTAAAACCGTGTGGAACGATGGGCATGGGTTTTTGGCTCTAACCTGAAGCACTGGCTTTGACCGGACCTTCACCTAACCCAGTGGGGTTCTTAACCTGGGGTGCACACACCCACTGGGGGTGCAAGATGCCCTCTCTGGGGGTGCGAGACATGGCCAGATTGTTTTAGAAGGTAAATCATCAAAACACAAATTAAGCACAGGCACGCAAGTACCACTACTTTGTTTCAGCAAACCTTTGTATTAATTAACATTATAATTTGTTTTACGATTGAGAACCAAAGGGGTGTAAAGGCTTCAGTAAAAGTTATTTAAGCGATAAGATGTATGGAATATTACTTATCAATAATTTTCGTGCCTGCATGAGACTAATAATTCTTCATTACAATGCACATGTTTTCAACCACGTGATGTACGGTTATGATCTGGTAATTGATGCTCATTTTGAGCAGGAGTTGGGGGACTACTGCTGAACCTGGAGCGTGCCACCAAGAGGTGGTGCATACACAGAGCAGGGCTAGTGTCGGGGCTAGTGAAAGACTCAACGCTGAAGTTACCCGAGTTTGATCTTCCACCAAGCTCATGGTCCACCCTAAACCGTATCCACTACACAAACCATGGGCAGATGCGGATTTACCTGATGCACAAACGGAAAATTTTAAACTGCCTAGTGGTGTGCGACTGCGGTCATCCAGAACAGACCGTACAACATAATAACGACGCAATGCCCCGATCCACAAATACGAAGGGAGACATGAGAGCGAAACATTCCGCTGTTCCCGACACGGTTGTCTGGCCTCACCATCTGAATGTGAAATTGTAGTCGTTGCTCTGCATCTACATCAGCCACACGAAAAAAGAAGGGCGAGTGGTAGGAGAATCGGTATGGCCGGCGGGAGGCGCACCTGCAGGATGGTGAAGTTCTCCAGCACGCTGTTCATCATGTACTTCTCGGGCAGCTGCTTGAGCTTGTGGATGAAGTTGATCATGTACTCGCACATCGGGGAACGGTGGATGCGGTAGACGAAGCGGCCGTTCTCAAACCTCGCGTACTCCGTCTGTGGGGGGGGGGGGGGGAGCAGAGCGCTTTCGTGAGGCGAGGAGTCACGTGACCCATGGGTGGATTTTAGCCTTCATTTCATTGTTGTTATGGGCTCATCCACATTGGTAACATTAACAATACATTTAAATCTACTTAATGAAATTTTCACAATGGATGTTTCTCTACAGGTATACTATATGAAGCAATCTACAAAAATAAAACCAGGCATTTACAATCAACAATATAACGGTACATCTCATATGGCCAGGAATAAAACTCGGCTAACATCGGTGCCAAGGAGGTATAAAAATCCCACAATAAACTAAAGTGGGTCACATAACTCGTGCGATAAGACAGTATGATGAACCGTTACTGGACAGAGGTCACATTTTTTACATTAAGCTATCTGCTTTTCAGCCTTTCTGAGATTGGCAATGTCACACCCTTTCAAATACATCCTCCAATTATTTAATACGGTTGACCTTTTGACGATGACAATTATTGATTATGACAAAGAAATATGATCACGGATCAAAAAGCTGGCGATACACACCCCGAAGCCGTAAGAAAATATCCGAACGACAGTGCGAGGCCTGGACATAAAAGGACGGTGCTTTTAAATGTGAATGAGTGACGCGTCTGTAAACGACGCGTGCCAGGGCTGCTCTGCACGGAACGGCGATGGGACTGATGCTCAAACACCACCCCCCCTGCTGGTTTATTGACTCTCAATCCATGGTACGTGACCCACTCATGACCCGCCTATAGCCAAAGACAATCAAATATTTTAGAGGCACAATTCAGAGCAGCAAGCATTGTCACTGATGCACAGCCTTCTTTGAGTGACCGTGCAGCTGCGGAGAGAGTGTTTAATATTCTTAGGTTTTTTCGGTAAAGTCACGTAGGTAAAACATTAAAATTATTAAAAGTAAAAAAAAACCTCACAAAAATTAGATTCAGAGCCTACCTTGGCTCCTCCCACCCTCAACCAGTATATATACAAATACTGTTTCTTGGAATTTCTCTCACTTGATACAGCTATCATGCTGTGACGGTTCCACCTGAAGACGGAAGCTTGTGTTGCCTCCGAAACGTCGTGATTTTTTTTACTTTTATTAATTTTAATTTTTTACCTACGTGACTTTACCGAAAAAACCTAAAAATATGAATCCTTGCAGTCACGAAAGCTTCAAATCTAGAGTGTTTAATATCAAGATTTCAAATATATATCTGTTTGGGACTGTCCAGTGGTGGGCATGGTTTCAAGTTGGCACTATAGAGAGATCGTGGTTCATTTGTCACCATAAGACAACCCGCGTATTTCTTCAGGGCGTTACCAAAGCGCTGTGGCCTATTGTATATCAGACATGTATGGCACCACGAAATCAGGTCCAAGAGTGTCCCTGAGTCACACACCTGATCCCCAATTAGCAAAGTACAAGCAGGCTGAACAACACTGTCATAATAACACAAAAATAGGCTGATACTACGAGAGTTGCTGTGATTTTTTTTTTACACAAAATGTAATTTCACTATATTAACAAGATAGCAATATCAGTTTCTCACATGTTAGTATTTAATTTAAATATCTATTGTTTTTATTGTGATTTGCTATACTTCTAAATTATAAAGCCCATTCTCAAGTTCTTTAACTGAAGTTCACACAACATAATCCTACCATGAGTATTTTAACAAAACGAACTTTACAATCTGCAATGCTCATAACACACATGTTGCCAGTTGTGAAAAAGTAATAACAAACGACTAAATTGCTCCAACAAACATCTTGCTAAGCACCAATCAAGCAAAGTATTACAACTTTATCTACTCAGTAAATTACGTCATAAATATCGTGTCCGGAATTAAAAGATTTACCAAAGGAAAATGAGCAATGACAACTTGGATAGAACGATATTTAGAAAATGTACGACACTATTATCGTGCATATCGTGTCGTACGATGTACACATCATCGCAGCATCGCCACATCGTGACAACCCGAGCTGTTCTCGTCATTACAGAAAGTGGTGTAGGATTTGAACCCAGCATCGTGTTCCTAAGATAAAAGAAGATACAAAATTAACCCGTAAAAACAAAGTTTTTCACTATAAATCCTTTATATGCGTGGCATCGGTTTTATTTTATTATTCATTTCTGTTTTTCTTGAGTAAGAGTTTCATTTTTATCACATTGGTATTTTAAATTAAATATGAAATTTTTTTCCCTAAAAAGTGGAAAATTTTGGAATTTTTTTTCTCACGAAAATAAATTGTCACGCACAACGAGTCTGTGTGCAAAATGTCAGCTCGATTGGATCACAGGAAGTGGGTTAAAAAACGACTGAAAAATTTGCACGGTCGTAAGCGCGCAAGCAAGCAAGCAAGTGAACTTAATATAAAGGATTTAAAAAAACATCTTACCTCCACTTTCTCCACGACTTGCTTGCCAAACGAGCACACTTTTGTGGAACACGTGATGGTCATGTTTTCCGCACTCTCGTACTGGCTCGTCACACCGTAGAACGCCCCGGCCTCTTCTTGGATGTTCGTGTTCAAGTCCGCCTGCGCGACCGCAAAAAAAATACACGCATGGGCCAAACGCGCAAGGCCCAGCGGCCAAAGTGAGGCGGCGTTGAATCGATGATTTTTACTGACCATTTCGGCTCCAGCCGACGCGTGAGCAAATTAAATCACTTTGTACAAACCGAAGGCAACAGACTCTCGCGTGCGATTCGATGCATTTGCGGTAAGTGTCAAAAGAGACTGATCGAAGAATCGATGCGACACTGCACACCCGATGATTTGCATTTGCCCAAATGAACATTCTGGCACGCACTACTGACATGTATGTTAAAGTCTGGTTAAAAAGCCCAATGTTTCATACCATAAAGCGCTAAACAGTAAAGTAAAAACAAAGTAAACAAAAATATGTAGATTTTTATTTTACAGTTTCTTACATCCTAACTGACAACTTACGGCAATGTACACACCAAGGAAACCGACGTGAGTTAATCTTTGACGTGTGAATTCAAGAAAGAAACATTTGCGCGCTTATACACATCATCAGTGCAATTGAGCGTGACACATTGACTTCAAGAGGGAAATTTGGGAGCAATTAGGAATGCGAGTGCCCGTATCAGCTTTCACTTGGGATTCTCCATTTACATCAAGGTCTTAGCAGGATAATATTTAATTTGAAGGAAAACTAAAAAATAAAAGTGGTTCATGTTTTCTTGCAGACGAATATCCAATTTCTTCCCAAGATCGTGTGACTTTACATCGGGAGAACGTGGATTTGGGATAAGATGTGGTGCTATTCCCTTATTTTGTGGCAAGCCAGTCCATGGCAACTCTTGACAGGTTAAATATTAACACACAAACCAAAACCTCGAACAGGACTATTACTATGACGACTATGTTTGCTTACCTAGGAAAGCCTCCCCTCATCTATAGTTCAGGAAGGTCCTGACACAGTTTTCAAAGTAGGGGGTTGATGGTGCTGTGTGTAATCCCAATTTAGTAATTAGCAGTTAATGTTTCACTATTGGGATGTTTGGCCTATACCCGGGGTTGGCAACCAAAATGACAAGAGCCATTTTTTTCGAATTCGGTAATAAAAAAAAATACCCTCAATATTTCAAGAGCCGCAATGCATGTGGTGAAAACGAGACTGTGGTACTTAATAAAAAACGTCACAAAGCAGTGCTTAAAGAGCCGCACGAGGCTCCGGAGTAGCATGCTACCAACCCCTGGCCTACACCAACACGTGCGTTTTAATGAGCTCTGCGAGGAAACCAGACAACCCAGAGGAAAACCACGCAGTACAGGGGGGGGGGGGGAAGAGAACATACAAACGTAATGCAAAAATGCACTTCAGTCGGTATATCGGGGCCTTCTTGTTATGAGGCACAAGTGCTACCATGTCGCCCATTAATGCACAAAACCTAAACAACAAAAGCTCACGGCAGCGCGCTACTCAATTTAATTGCGGGCTACATAACCCCATTTTACCTACCGTAGTTGAAATACAACACAGCAAACATCTGTCGTGAAAAATGTATCAGAACCTGAAACCTAGATCGACAATTAAGACTACTGCAATACAGTATCTGTCAACAGGCTATTTCATCCCCCCAATCTTTCCTCTAAACATGTAAGATTTATTTTTGAAAAGCCACAGCTTACTTTTAAAGCCGAGTCATCTCATTGACAAAAAAAACAACCGATACCTCTGTGGCCCGAACATCACTGAAGTGACATTTGCAAACCATTTCATGTAGCGAGCATTTATCTGTGCACCCTTTCGATTACCCTTCTTAATCCTCAAGAAGCCTTTAAAACAGTCTCTCATGTTTCCTTTGACAATTTCACGGTGGAAAGCTCCCTCAGGATGAGCCAACTTTGCCTCTGAAACGCGGCCCAATGTCACCCACTTAGGTCAAACGTCACGCACGAGGCTTTCCAAAACGGGGCTTAAAGCAGATGGCACGACATGCCGTGGCTCCGCCAGCAAGCTCTGGTAGCGCTGCATCATACACTGGGTATAGTTTAGATAAAGGTGCAGCCCCCGAACTACAAGCTCGTGCCACTGCTGCCAGACGAGCCTTCTGCTAGAGGGGAATCCAGAGAGCCCATCTAGGGGGTATGTTGGCCTACTCGCCCATGCTGGCTAGACTATTAGAGAAGGGCTCGGGATGCCGTTGTAGGGTAATGGCTGACAGACTGGACTTGCAACCTAGAGGTCATCGATTCGATTCGATCTCCCGGCACAGCAGTTGAAACAATGGGCAATGTTCCTGAAATCCATTCCTCTCCTCTGTGCACTGAGCGGTATAAATGGGTTCACCACAGTTGTTCAATCAGCTTGAGATTGTTCCTTTGACAGTTTTTTTTTTATCTCTCTCTTCCACGTTGTCCAGACATCATGGAGAAGAGGTGGGGACAGCCCACACTTCACTCCACCTTCACACACAATCTGCTGCTCTACTAACTGTAGTGGACCCCTTTTATATTCCTGGGCAAGAGAGAGGCGGGGGTTGTGTTGGGAGGGGGGGTGATTTAATAAACTTGCGCCTGATTTTAACCGCCACGTTGTCGAGAGATTGAAGCGGCGAACACAAATCCAGTGCGCTAACCATTACAGCACAGCAGAATTCCCTTCACTGACAAAGAGCTTAAGGGCTGTGCGTTCTATCACAAGCACAGTTGCGCTGCGTTTGCTCCTCGTATGGCCAATACGTTGATGTGCGCTCAAGTGTCTCGGCCTTTTCGCCAGGCTAGTCTTGCGCTTTTCCCATTTTAAGGCCCACTCGTGAGCCTGGCCATTCAAGCAAGTTTACTTAAATTTTTGAAGATGTCCAGCCACATAACTTAAACACCAGCGTGAAAGCATACACCACATCTACTTTCAAAAGGCTGATGCAAAAAAAAGCCCTTCCCCATGACTTTTCTTTATTGACTTTAGAGATAAACATCAAACGGGAGGATGGAGATTTATGTATTAAATGTCGGTTTTACATTTCTTAGGCCAACAGCTCTCAAACGCCATTCCCTTTAAAACAAGCCTGTTCAACAATTTAAACAGATGTTTAAATATACTACATAACCATAACATAGGCTCTTAACAACCACAACGCTTCTCCTAGACTATCACTTTCACAAATATGGCCAATACGTACACATTCACAGAGGTAAAAAAATATCAAATTGTACGGCAAATTATGAGTACTGTAGCTTCACCGTGCAAATTGCATGATGTACCTGAAATATTTTTGGGAAATGAATATAACATGGTTCGAGAAAATAATACAACATATTATATAAAAAAGTAAAATAACAATATCACAACGCCACACATACAGCAGAGGTGTAACGATCAATGTGTACTGATTAATGTAGATTCTTAAGGTTCATGATAGATGTGCAGAGTTACACGGGTAAGAATCGAAGATTCTTAATTTATAATCAATTATGTGCTAATGATATGGCAGAAGGTAGAAAGCATTGGCAAGATCTGGTGCCATTACAGGCTCTGGTTACGATGACATATTTATCTTTATCCAAACAATTATACGATTGCAGTTGTTAACACTTAAAATGACACGCTTGATTATTATTTAATCAGATCACATCCCTCAATTGTGATAACGCAACACACCTCTGGGAGTGGAATCCAGTGTGTCCCTGACATTCATCATATTGTGGAAAAGAAGCCAACATGAAACTGCATACAAAATATCATGGGATGTTTTTTTTGCCAGTATCAAAATATGAAAAATAAGATTAGGTTTCACCTTTTATGGCAATAAAACAGGTGTTAAGATGTTTCAAACACCAAATAGATATATTTTGCATGGAATCAAGTCTGAATGCAGACCACAAGTACGTGTCGTGAGGTTAACGCAGACTTCATTCCGTGCATACAAAACGTTTAAACTTTTTGTCTACCAGCAGATGGCGACATTCGATGGAAATGTGCACCATGCAAGCCTGCCCATTGCAAAGGCAGGAAGGACTGTCCATCATACTCCTATTGAACATTTCATAGCGAAGCCAGCTGGCACTGTCAGTTTCTTGCCACGGAAGGCAATCTTCATACAAACTGCAAAAACAAAGATCCCCCAGATAGGCCGAGTAAACTGTTGGGGCAAGTGCTGTTAGCGAGCACCTATAAAGGCCGCGATTGCATAAGAGGGTTGGGTGGCCAACACCACGCCCGGCCGCCTTTGTCTCCCCAGTGACGATGTTTACACACGGCACTAGATACTCATTTGAGGCCGAGTCGACCTAGGGGAGGCCCAGGACAGGTTCAGATAATCGTCACCGATGTTGGCCGTGAGCAAGAATCGAACTCGACCCGGAACTGCTACACGACGGCTCCCCACACACACGTTGTTTGTTCGCCCTGAATGTGAAAATGTTACATTTATATTTTTCACAATTTTTTGACAATTAAAAACTTTCCGCATCACATGTGAACCAATTTACTTGGAACATTTCGAACAACATATCCACATCCTTGACTACCCTAAACATATACACACGAGGACAAATATCTTTCGCATAGCCATAAAAGCTGTTGAGGGGAGTGCTATAAGTGAGCACCTATTAGGCATGGCACATGAGCAGGATCTGTGATCGGTCTTTGCTTTTCCGAATGCTGGCGTTTACACATGGCACCAGGTACTCATTTAAGGCTGAGTCGACCTAAGGATATCGCTTGCCACCAATGTCAGCCATGGCCAGGAAACCCAGGTTTACAGATCGATGCTGGGTTTCCAGCACAGCGAGATAGCCACCGCACGCAGATTCATGTTAAGGCCGGGCTGATGGACAGACAAGGAGGTCCTCCTTTGTGTTCTTGACACTTTTCTTCACAGTAGAAACCAGTCTGTGAGGTATTTCCCAACGTGTGGTAGTAGTTTTGATGATACTAAGGCCAAGCATTTTGGAATAATTTAATCAGCTTCCATTCCATACTTTCACAAAAAAAATATTCTATTCTATCAGCCGTATGCCTTTCCAGACGTATTTTTAAACGGCAGCATTTGTTTAAACGTGAAAATCCTGAGTTTCCCCGTTTGGAACTCATCAGCAGCCAAGACTTACTATGAACATACTTCCCATGTTGCCTGCTACAACGTGGGAAAAACACCGGTCCGGAGTTTGAGTGTTTTAAATTCATACTGCTAGTTAACATAATACTGGAAGGTCAATAGGGCAGATCACTGGTTAGAGCACATGCGCTTCCCTATAAGCACGGAGTGTAAAGTATTAACCTTTAGGTAGGGTGTTGACTGTTATGTTATCCGACTCTCCGTTGTATTACATTACATTTCTAAGTATACTAGATTTGTGTTTCTATTTCATTTATACCTGAAGATGATTGCTTGCGTTGCAATCGAAACGTCGTATGCTAACATTTAATTTATTATTTTCTCCTTATACGTGACTTACCGAAAGAACCAAAGAGTAATTCCTGCAGTCACGAAAGCTCCAAATTAAGTATTAACCTCGCAGAAAAAAAACACAAACTGGCTGTCAGCCCTGTATGGGGAGAAAAATACCTTGCAAGATACACATTAACACTCACCATTCACATCGTACACAACAACTACCAGAAGAGAACAGAGTAACACACAGGTGGTGCAGCAAATGAAACAAACAGTTAATGAATAGATTTCTAAATTATACGATTTCCTGTGTTTCATAGCAACGGGTGAGACAAACAGTCTGAAGCAATGCTTTGTGGGTGCTGCTAATCTGCACTATTATCCATTTCCTTTGCACTGGGAATGTGTTTATTGTTTATTGTTGGTTTCTGAGAGGGGGGGGGGTGAGGCAGGAGAGAGAAAGAGAGGGGGGCATGAGGAGCAGAGAGGGCCTTCCTATCGGCTCGAGGCAGCTGTCAACCAGACTCGCTCAATATTGACTCAAGCCGGGACAAAGAGCAAGGTACAGCAGTGGAGAGGGAGAGTGGTGACCCCCGTTAATTATTCAGGGTTCAGAAGGCACAGCACGAAGCTGCCGTGCTGTAATGGTTAGCACACTGGATTCCCAATCCAGAGGTCGCCAGTTTAACTTTATCTCAGGGCACGGCGGTTGAAGTAATGGGGCGAGCATCTTAAAAATCTCCCCCACCACCACCACCTCTGTCCACACCAGCAGTATGTGTAGACCAGTTAGTTGATCAGCAGATCGTGCACGGTGGGGTAAAGTGTGGGTACTCCCACTTCTTTACGCCAAGAGGTCTGGCCGGCATAGAAGAGGACAAAAAAAACCCTAAGGCGCGGTCTCTAGAGTTCCCTCTCGTGGAGGCACAGCAGTGCTGTGAGCAAGCAATTGCAGTGCTGCAGCTGAAAACGTGTGGCTGTGTAAGTATGCAATGGGTAATGCAGTAGGCTTGCATGCATTATGAGGTGGTATAAGGACAGGTTAAATGAGGCATAAGACATTCTTATTATCATGAAAGTCATCTTAAAGTAGAGTAGAGGTGGTGCTGTGTTTGCAAAGGATTTTACAAAGGAAATGCTGAGATTAAACTAACATTTGCAAGCCAGCTAAAACGCGATTGCTCAACTAACCCCGGCCAAAACCCAGTTGGGGCTTTCTGTGCTCGATACAAAATCCCTTACACGTATCTCTCCAAGTAACAATTTTGCAGGACATTATATATCCGCACAATAAAAATAAAATCTTCGAAAAAAATAAATAACTCTCGATTTAATAAGATTGTTTTTTGTTGCCCTTTCTGCTGTGAAGGCCAGCGGCTGCCCGAAACATTAGGCGATTATATTCCGTACTTCTCTATTGCTGAATAGAGCAGCGTTCGATAGCGGTTTGAGGTTTACTTTTTCTCCCCATACCATCTTAGAGCTTCTGTTAAAAGCTACACGAGGGATCTCTGCCTTTGTTGTGTGCGAGCGTCAATAATGAGCGGAGAGCCAGGCGGCTTAAACATAGCAAGCTGGCACAGTAGGCAGCACAGGTGGTTCATATGCCAGTCATCTCTTATCAAGCAGTGAAACCATTAACACCTGGGTCTATCCCGTGACCGCCAGTCCGTTTCCATTTGGCAATCCGCGTGGTCTCAACATGCACCTAGCTTGGCACCGGAGTCTGCTCCGTGATCTATGTCCCGCACGACCGCCTGCCAGGGACACCTTTGATATTGCAAGTGGCTCCAATGGGCCTCTAGCTTAGCATCTGCTTTTGTCCAGTGAACTCTGTCTGGCAACTTTCTGCCACCGGAGACCTTCGACAACTCACGTGGCCTGAAAGTGCACCTGGCCTGGCACCTGAGTCCATCTAGTGACCTGCCAGCGAGGACCTTCCATAATACACGTGGCTTCAACGTGCACCTGGTCTGGCATGAGGCCCTGCGGTGGACACCACGTCACCCTAATTGGCGAACGGCGGCTCTGGTTGCTTACGCTCGTGCATGTGTGCGCGGCTCACCCAGAACTTTACGAGGAAGAACGCCTCCTGTGGGCCCTTGTCGTACAGCTCTTTGAGGCCACCCTTCTTCTCGGGGAACTTGTCGTAGATCTGGCGAATGTCCACTGCCTCCAGCAGTGGGTCGCTGTACGCTGGGTTTGACTGGCCAATGTGGACAAACAGGTGCTTGTTGAACTGCACGGGCGGGGGGGGAGGGGGCGGAGGGAGCGATAAGGAATCAACCGTTTAGTGTCGTCCTCACTGTTACTGATAGTGTATAGACAGGTGAGAGCTCACATTCATTCAAGAGAGACCAGGGATTAAACATCAAGCAATATACAGCACTGTAAACAATAATATTCCTCCAGTGAAAATAAAAATTCTGATTCTGAATAATATTAATGTACATTTTTTTTAACACATACACTTTCCGTTCACCATCAAGAGAGAGAAATGATGCAGAGGCGTGGGAAAACACGGATAGGCAGAAAGGCAGCCAACACCGGCACCAACAACTACACACGTGCAATGCCGTGCTATTTTGGAATTGGTTTGGCCACCAAGAAAAAGGTGGCTCAAGACAAGTAACCGGTGCAACGTAATAATTCAATAATCTTAGATGAAACTATTTAAAATCAAAACCACTCAGATGGTCAAAGCTTGCACAGCAGTCCGGCCCATTTGCAGAGAAGTGAATTCCGGGTAGGTAGGCAGGGGTTAAAGTTGCTTAGAAAAAAAAATTATGCAATGAACTACTCATGTCTGTAAAAAAAACGTATTTTTTTTCTAAATACACACGCGATTTAGATTAAAACCCACAAGTAGAATATTTTTATTGTGACCATCAACAAAAAATAACAAAAAATATATTTTTTCAAGTGTCTTTTGCACTTAAATTCTACAAAGCAAAGTGGAGACTGTATATTCCAGGAATATTCTTTACGGGAGGTGAGAAGAGAAAATGAAACACATTAAAGCAGAGTAACAGTACAGCATCAATTAACTCTTGCAAAGTATTCATTGCAGGATATAGGCTTTCAGTCTTTGCAATTTTTAATGCAAAATTCACAAAAGGCTGAGTGAGCTGCATACATTCCAGCGAGAAAACATGAACTTTGGGTGACCTGTAGCAACAAGCTGCCAACTTTCCCGTTATTTCAAGCTTACGTGACTGCTGTAATGAAGCCCGTGGCATTCTCTTGTCAGGTTCTAAAGTTAGGTGATGAGACAGTGTATATTGAATGCCACCTAATAACAGCCGAAAGTTTTATTACTTTGTGAACAAGGATGCTCATTTTGTGTCGAGCTACTCAGCTAAGAGAGAGGCTGTTACGCAGTGTTCCAACTTTATTGATTCCATGTCTACAAAATGGAAATAACTTTAAGGTTGTTTGTTTAATGTGCCCAGACCTAACTCTGGAGGATTCAACTTTAAAGACCGAGCATCCTAAATAAACACGGTTATGTTTAGCAGTGTATTAGGCAGCGGCCACCTGCTCAGATGAATTGATTTGTCACCTTTTCCTACAGGGCATCTGGCTAAAGTTACAGATCTCGCAGCTTTGTGAAGGCCACTTAATACACACGGTACATGCTGGCCTGTGCCAAGCACATGACTGGAGCAGCTGTGATTTCTAAAGCTGCTTGTATTGCATTGGAAACTGTCAAAGGAGGAATGAATGTGCACGCATACATGTGTAAATATACACAACATATACACATATGTTATCAAGTATTAGAATCCATCAAATAATGCCCTTTATACATCCATCAAAGACTCCCCCCCCGAGTCTTAAGACTCAGTTTCACGAGGGACTTGCTTTGGGGTTGTTTGAGCAATTCCATTAACGCGTGGCTTTGTGGGAGTAAACTGAAACACCCATAGAAAACACATGCTCACGAGAGCACAACACTGAAATTCTCCACACAGCGATGTTGCCGTAATGCTACCTTGCTGGACAACTCGCAGCCAAAGCCTACAATAATTCCTGGTAATGCCAGCCGGTAGTATCCCCATCCAATTGCTAACATGACTCAACCCTGCTTAGCTATCGAGCTCTGATGAGGCCGGGCACATTCAGGGTGACTGTAATCATGGGCAATATCATTTGACCCTGTATTCTAATAATTTGCAAGAGATGGGCACTTTTCTCCATTCAGGCAAAATCCCACATTGGAAAATGCACACATAAATTCTAACAAAAAAAGCAAACCTTATGTATGTAGCTATGGTCATCCTGGCCTCTCTAACAACCAGAAAAACAATGTCATATAAGTCAATAACTTGGTGTATACCAAAATTCAGCAAATTTCATCAAACCTCACAAGCTAAGCAAGGGTAAGCCTGGATATAATGTCTAGATGAATGACCACCATGCATAAAAAAGCAACTGCAGGTCTACAATGTAGTCAAGAGTGCAGCACAAAACAGTACTTGTTGGACTGTACACTTATGCTCCCCTCCTTCGTCGCCCACAATGACCATCGTGGAGAAGCATGGTCAAATGACCCCCGCAACCCACGATACATGGGGAGGCCCTCATCCAGCGCAGTGGATTGACAGAAAGGGCTGCACGTGTACATGGATAATTTAACCTATGCATTGTAGTATTTAGCCTTAACTGTGTGTGACCCATATGATAGAGGTAACCACAGCTTACATGCTGGTGCATGGAAAGGCCCTGGCGCAACCCATCCCAAGTGGACCAGCGTCGCTCCTCTATCACGGCACATCCTGCACAATTGTGAGGATTTGGGGACTGGGAATAGGGGTGGGGGGACTGGGTGTACGTATGTACGCATGTTCAACTTCTTTCGCACAAAAGGTACCCAACCGTGCTAATCGGTGGTGCGGGGGTGGAAGGACAAGAAACTAAACGCAAAAGCCACAGCTAAAGAAATGAGTTTGTCAATCTGGATTATCTAAACGTGCAAAGCTCCAGCGGCTTCCTAATATCGGAAGGAAGAGCGTTCCAGACGGACGCAGGAAGCGCATCTGAAAGCGCGCGATGCGGTGACCGTCTTTGTTCGATGGCCAGCCATCGCATCTGAGAGTGTGCGGTGGTGGTGATGGGTCGGGGGGGAGGTCACTCACCGTGTCTGGGTCTCGCGCCTGCTCCAGGAAGGCGGAGAACTCCACAAGGCGGAGTTTTGACGTCCCGATGGCACGGCCTTGCCACGCGGGGCCCGCACCAGGAGGAGGGTTAAGACCGGCCGCGCTCTCGTATCCTGACAAAGACAGAGATCCACCGTGTGTGTGCGTGGTCTTGAACAGACTGTTGGGGACACAACGGTAACTCCGCTCGACTTTGGATTGCCTCGCGTCATCGCTTTTCTCACGTTTTTATAATCTTGCTCAAGACAAAACAAATACAATTAGAAACTCTTTTCTATTGTACCATCAATGTGCTGTTTTTTCCTGACCATTTGCCATTGTTGGCCTTTGGACATGTGCTCTGCATCTGCAGTAAGGCTGGCACAGCCCACAAGGAGGTGGTGGAGTTAGCACCACAGCCAGCCAGTTGCCTTTGTCTCCCCAGTGATGATGTTCACACGGTACACCAGATACTCATATCAAGGCTGAGTTGACATAGGGGAGGTCCAGGACATCGTTTTTTGTGATGTGGAGACACAGAATGGAGTTCTGCATATGTATGTTTTCACCTAAAAGGTTTCAAACAATGTAAGAGTTTGTATACATCATTGCTTTTTGCGTTGAAAAGGGCCCCATCGTTTAGATGGAGTGCTCTTTACAATAACATTTGACATCCCAGCTGAACTACAACCCAGGATTCTCATCCTTAAAGAGGACCAATAGGCTGAACTACAAATATAAATGCTTCTTTAAATGTATATATGGAGACAAATAACAAGAGTTATGCTTCTGTGTATATATCGATAGCTTACTAATCTTTACTAAGCAAAGAAATCAGTCAAAACTGACCCGAAAAATTACAGATCACATGCAACCTATTCATTAAGATCACATAAAACTGAATAGTGGTCAATGTAGAGACCACCAAACCACCGATTATGGATAGGATGGTTCTACCATTGACCAAATTCCATCAATCAGATTCCAGAAAAGACAAATGAATATCCAATACCATTGTGCCTGGCTTTTGTAGGCTATGAGTGCATTGGGAAACTAATGCACTCATAAGAGCTCTCACATATTAGGCTTTCATAACAATGTTTAAAAAAATATCAAAATTATTTGAGCTTTTGGAACAAACAGATGTATTGAGATGACATTAAGTATATATACACACATCAGCAAAAAGGTTGAAGCAAGGACAGCACTCTCCCCAAGGTTATTTCGCAGCCACACGAGAAAATATTTCCGAAATAAAGGATTGGAGATAAATGGTGACAATATTAACCCTCTCAGAATTGCTGATGACATTTATAATAATAACCAATGGGAATGTGGTAATTAACTACAGGAAATGATTGAAGAACTTAATTTAAAAAGTTTGATGATCAATTGTGCTATTTTCCACCTTTCTAGCCTAACTATAAAAGTATTTGATTTTACATTGGCCACTCAGTCAAATACATATATGCCTGTTACAAGTTAACGATTTCAAATGTCAGCATATTACCATCATCATCATCATCATCCACGATTAATACACGATGTGTTAGTCTTAGGTTATTAACATATGTTCATCTTTGATTATTAATCAATGAAATCTCTTTTGAGCAGTTGCCCAATAAACTAATATTCGGCATTGTTTTTTAATTTCAGCATTTCTTACGTACGCAAAAGAAACTGCTACGTGTAGAGAAAACACACACGCGCAAGACGAAGATGGACAAGATAGCCTAAGTAACCTACCCTCAGTACTGCCTCCTACAAGCATCTGGCTGCATATGCCTATGGGCATCACACAAGCAATCTTTTCATTACACACCAACCATGTTTGGTTGCTTCATTACATACACACACACCCACAACCTCGGGAGGTCAACGATGCATCGAATTAACACCGATCACCACGGATTAACGTCACCATTATCACCATCATTTGCCGTGAGCAATCCACTGCCGGATGAAGGCATCCCCAGATCATCACCGTCGCTCGGCAACAGGCGAGACAAAATGCGCTCCATTCACTACACCGCTCTAACCAGCACAGTAGAGAATGCTCAAAGAAGTTCCAAATAATCAACGGCACACCTACATCATTAATGCACGACCCATTGCTGCTTTGTTTATTTATACAAACACAGGGAGAGAGAACAAATACATGATTCTTGTTTTTTAAATACCACAATGATGGCACTGACAACCAGCAAAAGGTGTCGTTTAAACACTGGCTATATTCCAACGATTGCGGATGGGTGTTTGTAGTCTGCCTCATGATGTGAATCAGGGCTTAGCAGACTTATGTAAACACAATGCCAATTTCATCATCCTATTAGTATATTTTGGTACTGGCAAAGGAGGTCTAATGATGTAGATGCTCACCCCGAGCCCTCATTACTTTGATGGTGCGTTGTCTTTGAGCTGTACGCCTTTTGGCGTCCTCTGGTCGAGCACCAATTGGGTCGAGGCTCAAAAGAAAGCCGTCCCTGGTGTGGACCAATCAGTTTCAAGGACAATGCATCTATTATCAGTGTTTTTTTGTTTGCATTTTGACTGCAAGTAATTGTGGTTAATGCAGACATGAATCCTCGTAAAAAAAGGTTTCAGTTTTTTTGCCAGAAAAAAATGGGAAAAACCCTATTATTACAATGCCAATTACTTGGTGGACTGTACAGGTTATTTTTTTAAACAAATACATTGACAACAACAACATAACAGCATTATCTTCGATTTATAAGTAGGCGATGGAGTTTTTCTCACTTTGCTGCAAACCCAGCGCAAATATCTATGAAAGTACATACGTCCAATGGTCGCTCAAAGAGCTACACCTCAATGCTAAACGAAACAAATTATTTGGTAATACTGCATCGGCAGTGGTGCTCAAGCACAGTCAAAAGAATATACTCAACAACACCGTCGGTGGCCTTAAAAAGATAAGAAAGAGAAGAAAGTGAATAGGTGAACGTTTCGGGCAAACCGAGGCCGGAGGGGTAGACTCAATTCTGCAATGTTTCAATGTCATGCAAAGTGGCATGCCACGTGACAATCTGATTTTGGAAACGAAACAGGAGCCCATGCAATGGAATAATACCCATCTATAGTAAAGGCTCCAGTTGTATTTTTGGAACATCAGGTTATGTATTATACTATATAAAAGCAAGAAGGCTGGGGATTTTAATGTCGCAGTGACTAGTCTAAAGTAAGTCGTCTTATTTTCTTAAAAACGATTAGATTTTTTTTCTATATAACTGGAATCAGCCAGGATCAACTCACCAATGTAATCATGTGGAAATGAACTGCGCAAGTGTTTTGAGTAATTCAAGTACACCTCAAGAATGCCTGCAACCGAAGGAGTGTGGAAGCGCAGGTTGAAAATATGTATTTACCACCGTAACTCATTTATAAGCAAAGCCTCTTGACTGAAGAATATATCCAACGTTCGTGAGAGAAAAAGAAGGGACCGTTCCAGAATTTCGATTTAAAGCTTTCGCGACTACAGGGTTTCATCTTCTTGGTTCTTTCGGTAAAGTCACGTAGAAGGGAAATAATAAAATAATAAAAATAAAACAACATTATTTTATTATGTTTTATTTTTTTTATTTTATTGTTTCCCTTCTACGTGACTTTACCGAAAGAACCAAGAAGACGTTCCAGAATTGTCAACGTGTTCATGTTGTCCATGATAAGACCATGTACGTTAATGACAGCGACAAGTTTAGTTTCAGCTTGTGCTTTGAGTCATTGTTGACGTTAAGCAGGACAAAAGGAGCATTTGAGATAGCGTCTGACTTTTTTACTCTGTTTCTCGTCACATTGCAGAGGCATCTTCTCTGCCACTTCGGTACACACTCTAAAGCTCAACTGCTCAGGGGAGCCTTTCAGTGCGATTGGTAGCTTAGACTGATTAAATAATTGATTGCTAATGCCTGAGATGAAATGGACATTTGTGGTTCCACAGATGCACATAACTACACGGGCGGGGTTGTATTGTAGCGAGCTCTCCATTGTAAACAAAAATTAAATGGAATATGATAGAAACATGATTTCCTGAATTATCAGAATCCATTTGAGTATTATGGGTTTTTTGTTTTCTTTCACAGTGATACACCGTACTGATTGAACATAACCAATAGGTATGCAGTGGTGGACATACAGGAAAGCGTACAGTTGTTTTTGACATGAACACGGGTTGGAACTGAACCCCAAGCTTGGCAAGGCAGCCTTTGTAAATAAATGTTTTTTTTAAACAAGTTTGTTAAAAGGAAGTAACCGGCTCTGTCGATTTCTCTGTAAGCCCTGCTGGACAGTTGAGCGCTGAGAGAAGGTTTACATTCGTCTGCTCAAGGTAAGACTCGCACTAAGCCTGAAGGCACTTTCAAAATACCAACCTAACTCGTGCAGTCACGCAACCTCTGAAGCTGTGCACACAAAAAAGCCAATAACCTGCCAAAACGCTATGACTAAGTGCAACAACATGCAAAAAAAACCCATCTCATACACACCAAAACATGACAAACTCGAATACATCAATATTTCTTTACTAAACTGAAACATTTATCAGACATATAAAAAAACAAACTAGACAACGGTCCCATTTAAAGCTAGCCCTTATGAAACATTCGACCATATGAGTACTATGTATAGAAATAAAACCAATAAAAGCGCAGACATGTTCTGTCGAAAGACTCGTGTATGTTTCAAGTCGCTGCCTTTTATTCTCTTTATAGTCCATCAGATGCAAAGAATCAAACGTCTCTTTTTTCTCAAGGTGCACATTCCCTGGCAGCCACTCAAAACAATCGTAACGAACCAAACCTCTTGTGTGGGGGGGGAAGAAGTTTTAATGCCACAGAGACAGAGGTACAAGAAACAGTATTCCAGAATTATTAAAATTGTCCAATGTGTGTGTGTTTTTAAGCATTGTATTCCAGAAATTCAAAGAAGTAATTGAATGCCTATTTTTGTTCCCAAAATGCGCTTGAACCAAAGCCACATTGTGATGTCAAGTGCAACACTTGTGCCGAGAAAAAAAAAAAACGATTACCGGACACGTGGCCCAGCGAGCGAGACGCAAAAGGAGAGTTGTGAGTTCAAATCCTAGACGGGGATTGACTTGGGCCATCATCCCTCCCCCTCTGCGGTTGATAAAATGAATACCACTTTGTGGTGAAATCAACGGTGGTAGTCCCCTGTCTAGATTTTCCCCCGCCATAGGAATGTGGAATTTCTGACACCGTCTCAAAGCTGTAAAAACAGGAGATGACCAGCGCATCAATGCTCTTTTGAGCAGGAAGTAACTTTGGCTGTTGCCTGTATGACACCAACTGAGTCTACTCAGTCCGGATTTCAGCTCCCCCACTGCGCGTGTGTAACACACCTGGAATGGCGGCGACTGCCTGCAGAGGATACGGCTGCTGCACGAAGGGCTTGATGCTGCAAAAGGCGATAAAAGTGCACAATTGTTTACAACAGTGCTTCAGTATTTCCACACATCGAAAAGGGCAAAAAGGATATTTATATATATAAATATATACACACTGAAAATCCCCGAATTGCATAATATACCTTCCGGGCAAGCACTGCTGGTAAGTAGCTATTAAGGCCTGGATTGGCACATCAGGGGAGTGGGGTGTGTCCGACACCACGCCCAGCCACCTTTGTCTCCCCAGTGCTGATGTTCACACACAGCAGCATCGAGTGCTCGTTTCAAGGCCATGATTGGTTCATGTATCTCACCCGCCACTGCTGTTAGCTGTGGCCAGGAACTTAGCTTGGGCTGTTGGTTTTGTAGCGCGGAACATGAACCATTTCGTCATCGCTCCATGCTATATCTAAAAAAAAAGACAATTATCCCCCGTATAGCCTTTAAAGACTGTTGGGGCAAGTGCTGTTAGCGAGCACCTATGAAAGCCGGCACGGCACTTGAGGGGGTGGGTGGCCAGCACCATGCTCCCCCACGTAGTGGCAGTGCGCTAACCGCTCGACTACCGCTCCCCATATATACACATACACACACTCGCATACAGTATACACAGACTTTGTAAAAGGTGTATGTATATATAACGGCATGCTTGAATGCATCTTAGCCATGTGCTGAAAGCTGCATGACCTTATGATCTTTTGGTTTTTCTTTGTTTGAATGGAATCTTGCTCTGATGCTAACCAATGACAAAAGAGCCAGCCTCGAAAGGTACTGGCAAGCAGTCGGAATTGTGCACGTCATCAACTTAAGACTTGTCAACAGATGTTTGGGCGAAACACACACGTCCTACGATATTATACAATTTTGATAAAAGTTTAGCCTCTTAAACTCGCATCTACACTCCCCCCCCCCCCTCAACATTTTAAATGGCAAACAAATCAAAGAATGACATTTATATACTTCTGACATTTTTGAAAATGTCAGCCCGAGCAGATTTTTTTTTACTGTCTTTTTTTATTGTTATTTATAATTTAAACAGGTGGAGCGAGTTGTAACAAGCCTCGGGCACCCTTGATAAGTATCAAGTGACCAGAAAATCTGGCTTTTCGGCATTCAGAAGTGAGGATTATTACTTACTCTTGTGAGGAGCCCGGCTGCCCTGGCAGAGCACCTGGCCAGAACTACAAGAAGAGAGAGGAGGAGGAGGGGGAAGTTTCAGAGGCTTACGTTAATAACACCAACATCGGCAAAAAAAAACACAAAACAAGCGGTATGTACACCAAACGCAAGGGACGTTTGGGGCGTGCATACCTTTCTCATAACGCAAACGCTCGACTCTTCACAGGTGCATTGGCGAACAGGTTTGATATTTTTAATGGCAATACAAACACCCTCCGCCAGCCCCGTCCAACCAACCAATCAGGCTTTTAGAATAACAAGAGCAACTGCATCAGTAATTTCCATTATTTATCGTTTCGAAATACGTTATATGCCTTAGTGAAGCGTCATTGGTGTGGTGGTGGTTGTTTATACTATTCTGTACGTTGCAGCAACTTTCAGGAGATCTCCATAATGTTTGTTTCTGGTCGACCCTCTGTATTTTGGAGAGATGAGTTTCAGATGTAAAACCCATAAAAACTAAGTTTTTCACTCTAAATCCTTTATATGCGTGGCGGCTAGAGTTCTCTCGTCCTCTGGCTTGAGATGGCTGCAATCTATGGGTCAGATGATTGTCTGCCAGTATTAAGCAATTGCTAATTAAATATTTAATTTGTTTTCCCTAAACAGTGTAATTGTCTCGCACAACGAGTCTGTGTGCAAAATGTCAGCTTGATTGGATCACGGGAAGTGGATTAAAAAACGACCGAAAGGTTTGCACGGTCGTAAGCAAGCAAGCAAGCACGCAAGCAAGCAAACTTAATATAAAGGATTTAAAAATACAAGTATTTTTGGAGTTTAGGACAATTTCAGACGTACGTATAACTTCTTTCGCACCATACGTAGCCATTCGTGCTACTCGGAGATCTCGTCAGATTTCTGGATTTTCTCGATAGTTTATATGAATGGAATAATTTAACGCCTCTCCACATCACCCAATGCCACATGACACCACTTTTGGCGGGACAAACAAGGAGTGACAGTTTGCGATGTCATTTCCAATTACAAAAAATCAGCCCGTTCATAAGAAATATCTTCCCATAATTTTCAGATTTTCCTAGATTAACCCAATCATCAGGAGCACATCTCTCGGAGAATGGCATGGCTCACATTCCATCTCTACCAACCAAACTGAAAAAATAAATTCCCATATATCAAGGCCAGGGCCAACAAAAATAGTAAACTATAAACAATTTCGACTTTACCAGGTAAGGCCCACTGAGCTATATTGCTCTTTCTCAGAAGAGATCTGGCCACAAATGATAGCTCAACGACTTCCTGTATACCATGAAAGGGAATTAACATCTCGCCACCAGCACTTACTGTAAACTGTACCAGCAAAGTACAGTTTATCTTTGTCACTTAAAAACAATAGTTTCATTTCAAGTAATCAATGTTTGTTTTTCTCAACAACAAAATAAACTCCAGCAACACTGACAATTAAAGTATCACGTTCAACTGATGAGGAGCGTCTTTCATTGCTTATAACGAGTTTATTTTGAGTACTTGAAATAAATATCCCTTGTGGATTACATGATCATGAGTGGGTATTAACTTGCGTATGGCAACCCGCGTACAGATGTAACGCAATCTTGCTTTTGACACCGCGCAGTAACGCAACGTTGGTCACTGAAAAACGTGAATGTAACAAAGCCCGACAAAATATTTGTTGTAACTATTAAGTGATTGGCTTTAAAATTATTTACATTTCAAACTTTACGTGCGGACCACGTTATTTGTTTAATAAGAATTTGTATCGGTGCATATCTACTAAAGTGTATGTCTAAAACCTCCATAAATACGGCACATCTCACCTATCAGATTCAGCTTTAACCCTCACCAGAATGTGAAATATGAATACATTTGGATGCAATATTTATGTTTAGACATGTAGCTTAATGCTTTTTTGTGTATATATGATTACGATTTGAACAATATTTCAAATTTTAATTATATGAGAGGTAGTGTTGCATTAATTAACATTGATTGCTAACCTCCCAATACATGCATCAAATCGTCTAAGAATGTGCGTTTCTCTTATTAGTAAACGTTATATGGAATGGGTTTGTGACAGCACTAAGAGGCAGCTCCATCAATTCCCTAATCAAGCTGCTACCCTGAATAACAATTCATTGAATCACAGCAGGGGTGGGAGAATCATTACACAACTCGGATCTCACAAAAGCTTCGTAAACTTTACAATACAATTTGAATTTACAAAGCTGTCTTTCTATCATGCGGGGCGTGGTTTAGGGGCCGTTGTGGTGTGGTCGCCATCAGGAATGACCTGCAGGGCATGGGTTTTAACTTAAAGGACAACCACGTCAACTTTACTCTAGAGGCGAGTAGGAGGTGGGGACGACCCTTAATTGAGAATTCTGAAAATTATGAGGCGAGCGGAGTTCTGCGTCGACGGCGCTGGGTGGCTTAAGGAGTGGCGAAGCTCATATGCAATTATTCCTCTGCGGGCACAAGGTAATTTTCGGCTCGTGGATAACGAATGTACGTGTGCCGAGTGTTTCTCACCCCGGTTGCTGTCGGGTAGGAAGGCTGCGGCAGAGCTGTGAGCCCCATCACCTTGTTGTGGATTGCGGTGGCTGACACGATCTGTGCCGATGACATGTTGGCAATGCTCTGCATCGCTTTTTCCTTCGTCGTCTGATCCTGGGAATGTCACAAACGCAGGCGTCACTCCACCGTGCCACCTTCAGCGCCTACCGCCGGATAAATTTAGCCTGACACAGGTGCAATGCATTTGGCTGGCTGGCTGACGGTCAGTTATAGCCTAGTCTCATTACGGCAAAAAACTGGTTGCTTTGTTTGGGTGCAACTTTTTGCAGTCTCTTTGCTATCTACAAAAAGCACAGGATTAAATCGGCGATGTCTAAGCCTTGGGCACGACACCTTGGACCTGAGGCACGTGCTAGGGCCCACTTGTTGATAGGGTCACTTGTGTCAGCACCAATGTCTGTGAGCATTCACAGCAGTTGGACGCCGATGGCAGTGGATCACACACAGACAAGCCCAGGCTTGTCACACAGCCGATTGTCAGGCCATTTCACAATGTTGTAATCCATTTCCCCACTATTAATAAACATTTTTAATACATAAATCAAGAGATATTCAAATTCCCTGTATTTCCTCGTATCATGCTAAATTCTCCCATTCCACTGCAGATAGTTAAAATCCATTATATATCGTGAATGTGGAACAAAGGTTGTTATTTATTTATTTAACGGGGTGAAATCCCGATGTGCTGTAAAGCTCCAGAGTCGTGACATTTTAGGTTCGTAGGCCCGCTGCTTTAACGAGGCCTCCACTGTATGAGCACGGAACTGTTGTTATGTTTACACGTCAGAGGAGGCACAAGGACGAAAGGACTATTGAAGGAAAGGCAAAGCAACAGGGGCAACATTTCTGAGATTGTGTTTTCATATTCAGAAAATATATATCTGAAATTCAAACGACATCAGGATTTCAACTACAAGTTTTTTTGTTTACCAGGTAAAGCCCACTGAGCTATGTAGCACTCTTTCATATGCGGCCTGGCTATCACAAATGATAGCTCAACAGAGTGGCTCACGTGGAAATGTTATAGCAGTCAAACTCTTAAAAGATTTGGTGACGATTTTTCAAGTGACACTTAAGATCCTGTCGCTTGTGTAAACATTTTATAAACACTAAACCTTTTGTCCACATCTTACGTGGACTTTTATGCACACATGTACAGTACTCGTTAGGATGCATTTATTTAGTGAATAAACATTTCTTATATCATGAAGTTAAACGAGGCAATGGACAAAGATAACACATTTTCATTGAACATGTTTGGTTACATTAACAAACGGTGCATTCAAGAAAAAAAACACACACACCACACGTGAGAAACATATTGACCAATCATAACTCTGACATCCAACATTATTAAACGCATCACTTATCAGTTGTCATGGCAAACAAAAAAATGAATCAAAACATTTGAAAAGTCATATCAGATAATAAGAAAAAAAATAACAGCACAAAGCATGGATTACGCAACGACAACAACTTCCACCACAATCACAAACTGGCTCGTCTGCATTCACCTGCAGTCAGGGTCATTCTCACACTGTACATTTGGGCTCAAAACAGGGTCACCGGTTCACACTAAGTGCCAATTTGGCCATTCCCTCATTAGGTTAAACAGATTCAGTGGACCAGAAAGCCAGATAATGCCAATAGGATTAAATGCTTCTGTAAATCTGAAGGCTTGCCCCGGGCATTAGCAGGAATTACATTAAACATTATTACATTTTACAGTCCAACAATTTTGATCAAGAAAAAAAACTGGGAGACAGAAGGGCACGGCTTTAATTGTTTTACACAAAACAAGTTGTGCCACAAAGTGCCTGTGTGCTCGGAGGAGCGCCTTCTGAACTTTAACGGGCGGCACTGTCCTGGGGCCCTTAACAAACCTCCGTTTCAGAGGTTCCACGGGGCACAAAATCAGCATTCACGGGCGGCCACAAAATGATGGAAGCCACCGATTTCTCGCAGTTTGGTGCGAACTGTCACTAAGCAGCTAATATAGTGCGTGTGTGTGCCAGGCGAAGTGAGGGGGGGGGGGTAGGAGGAGCGGCCCTCCTTACAACCTGACGCTAAGAGGCACGGACAGGGCGGTTTGTGTAACCCCCCCCCCACCCACGGAAGGTCACTGGGGGGCAGTCACATGACATTAAGCGGCTTTAATCAGTCGGCAAAGGTCAGCGTGCCCGTTTGCACTGCCGCCTCCAACTTTGCTAGCGCTAACGGGGCACAAGCGCACGCACTTCATCTTGAACTACTTCGCGTAAAACATCTGCATCGTAACAACAATCGGCAACGGCAAGGAATATTAAAACATGACGGGCTGAAAGTGCAACAGGCAAAATGCAATAGAACCCACGTTAATATTGCCGTATTCGTAATTATACGTTGTGAAGTGTTGTCTTGGAATAGTTTGGCCCACTGGGAGACCTCCCGGCTCGGCACGGGGAGGTTCAGCCACGAGGCATTCAGGAATTCAAGAGGGGGGGGGGGGGCAATATGGTAATTTTCTACATGTGGTCAAGATGGATCGCTGTGTTAAATAATTTAATAATGAGTGATTTGCCGAGTATAACCCAATTCTCACCGTCACCACGTGGTCAGCTTGTTAACAGGTTTTCACGACCCAAAGCAAGGCTACTGGAATACAAACCGGCATTCTCTGCCTTCCTGTAATCTCATTTTCACTCGCGTGTATTTTGGCGGCATACGTGTGCGTGCAGCACAAAACCCGCGCGAGGGCAGTTTATTTACTTTGCTATTGCCACGTCACCGTTCAAGAATTTGGGTTGAAATGCCATCCAAGTGACGCGCTTGGCTGTATGTGTGTGGGTTGGAGTTTTTTTTCTAATCGTCAAAGCTGGCACAACATTTCACGAGGGTTCCACCACAATGCATTATTGCACAATGGCATTAGCGAGATGTTGGGCATGGCGATACATAAACTTACCATGTTCATTCCCTGGGCACAACAACAGAAGACGTGTTAATGTATCCATCCAGAAGAAGTGAAAAAAAAGAGGAGGATAAAGCCTTTTTATTTCCATCCCTTCACTTACAAAACAATTTCCTGCTACAGGCAAACATTTAGCGACTGCAATTCACAATTAATATTAATAATGAGAAGATGCAAAATACCCATTGTTGTGATAACCAAAAGGAATAAATTAGCTTAGAATATGCGTAATCATTGCTCAATTGCAGGCATGCAGTAGGCTTTTGTCTCAACAACATTGTACATTTAAGAAAACTGAAATGGCTGCTCTTGTTTTAAATACAGCATTGTGTTCACAAGACTGGAGATCTCAGCGTCGGGGGATTATTTTCCCCTAATTAAATATATCACGACTTGATTATCGGTAAGCATGCATAACATTTGAAAAGAAACATAAAAAAAAGATCATAAGACAAACAGCAATTATTATACGGTAATAGTTATATGTGTACGTTTGAAATATTTTAGGAGGCAAAAAAGACGATTTTTTTTTTTACTTTATAACTGTACAAGATTGACAAAAAATGTGTTTTTAGAGTTTAGAAATTGAAAGGAATGAGGATGGTGTCACGGTAAGAGCGAGCTAAGAGTGAGCGGTAAATAGGTCAATTGAAGCTGTTGGTTAATGAAACAGCCAAAGGAAGATTTTAAAAGCCTGCTGCACATACTAGCAGGTAATCAGCCAATCAGCCAATGCATGCCATAGCGACCAGCAACTGATTGAATTTAATAAACAAAACATTACCTAGAGCTGCAACAATCACCGTCTTGACTCATTACCAAAGTTATCACTTATCCGCTTTAAATAGTATTGCATCTCCGTGGGATGGTTTTCGTCTCGTACTTACAATCAACCAAATAATATTTTAATATTATTACGTTCAAGAAATGTTTTGTAAGTGATCGACAAACCAGTGTCATTTCCTCCCCCCCCTCCCACCCCCTTTTCTTTCGGGAAAGAAATGCAAGACTCCAAAAAAAAGTTGTGTGGGAACACCCTCGTTTCACGAGGTAAACCATCTCTCTGCGTGGAAGGATCTGACGAGTTTGCTGCTCTCTCTCCCTCCCTCCCTCTCTCTCTCTATTCCGCCTCTACAGGGTTAATCAAACAAGCGGCCAAGTCTGCGTTGTTTAGTCTGTAGCCTGAACATGCAAAGCAAATTCATGCCAAAGAAACAGAAGCAGAGATGAACCTCGTGTCTAGCAAAAAGTCTTTGTATCGTGAAAAAAGGGCCAGTGAACACTTGGAATTTAGGAAAACACGTTTAAAGCAAATCGCTAAAATAAAAGTTATTATTGCCATATGCTTTTTCATATACATGCATACAATAAACTTGCTTTATGAGCCACAGAACAAAACGGATTGCGTGAGGACCTTCACCAATGTCGGTGAATTAAACGCCGTTTGCACGCCGCTGCCATCAGAGAACAATATAACAGCCCACGCGTACAGACATTACCAACACACACGGGGCTTTACATTAACCAAACGTCCGTGGGCATCAGCTAATAGCGCTGACGTTAAGGAAACAGAAAATCAGTCTCGTGGTAGGAACAGACACACACAACGCGCCTCGCCCCTCCCCCCCTGCTTGGGAAAGGAATGCACCATGTGTTTTTGTTCCAGTTGTTTTGTTTACAGGTTGCCCTCCCGGGTGCAGGTTGTCCTGCAAGGTGTCCAATCTCGCGAGCCAGGCCATAAGAAACTTGCAACCCCTGAGCAGAAGCCCTGCGCCATGCAGCGAGCAGGTGAAGCCAGGCGCAGTTCCAGGGAGAGGTCGGGGGCGGGGCAAGGGTAGGGGGGCAAGGAAGTGGCGGAGGAGGGTAGAGGGAAATCCCGAGCAGCCACCAGCAGCGCATACCTTCAGCTTGGCCTGAAACTCGCGAGATTTCCGCCGGGCCAGAACCTGTATGTGACTAGACACCTGCCGGAGAGATGGAGGGAGAGCAGGAAAGAGACAGGACCCTGGAGGTGAGTGCAACCCTGGAATTGCTTAGTGCCGAAAAGACCGAACGCACGTACCTTGATGGAAGTCTGAAACTCGCGCATTTTCTTCCTGGCTAACACTTGTATGTGACTAGATACCTGCAGTGGTAACATGGTGAAAAACAAAGAAACATCCAGCATTTTCTGTCACACACACATGCTCGCGCAGGGCTACATTTCAGGCCTGCCAAAGGGCGAGGTTATTGAACTTTAAAAACAAGTGCACAGATATATTAATGAATTAAGAAAAACACAAACATTGTTATTCACGGGCAAATATAAAACTAGATCTTTATGGCACGTCAGATTTATTAAGCAACACGGTTGAGTTAGGGGCATTTATCCAAAACATAAAGTAAGCAAAATGGCACGTCATGATACAATCGCTCTCAGCCACGTCCTTAAGTGGTGGTAAGAAATGACATATGCTTGAGTGTGCTCAAGCTTTAAAAAATATATATATGATTTAAAAAATGCAATGCAACACCATCAATTTGGAATTCAGCCATTTATCACTTCATTTCTCTGTAGAAAGAACAATGCTACCAAATTACATTCTCGATTTGGAACTTTTAATTTGTAGGATCGATCGGTTGAAGGTAAAAATGGCCCTTTCAGTCAACTGTTGTGTCCTATAGAATTCTACAAAACAAAAAGAATGACATTTCTAGCAAAAGCATTCATTACATAGTTTGTTTTTCATCATACTTGAAAAGTCTAATAAGGTGTTGTGTTTATATTCTTTGGGTCTTTCGGTAAAGTCACATAAATAATAACAATTAAATAATAAAAATTAAAATAAAGTGAATAAAAAACAATAAAAATATCACGACGTTTCGCTCGCAACACAAGCAATCGTCATCTTACGTGACTTTACCGAAAGACCCAAAGAATATGAATTCCTGCAGTCACGAAAGCTTTAAGTCAAGATTTAATGCGTTATGTTGTTCACTATCCCACCGATTAAACTGCAATTCAACGAGGCTTCAATATACTGAAAACAAAGGCACAAATAAAGGGAAGCCTTCATATCGAAGCAAAAAATTGAAAAAGTGGGATGTCAAGGTACAACAATTCTCATATATAAAGGCAGCGTGGAGGAGTGCAGTGGTTAGTGCGCTCGCCGTGATATCAACCCGGCAACGGAGTTCGACTTCCAGCCACAGCTAAAACCACTGGCACGTAAGATTCCAACCAACCTGCACTGACCAGCGTGGCGAAATACGGTCAAACAACCCACACAGAGTAGGGAAGTCATTATCCAGCAGTCGACTGATGTAGGGTTGTATATCACTTTGCATAAGAGTGATCACCTCACCCAGAATGCACCGGTCTCAGCTGGGGTTGAGCCTGGATCGTGCTTGGATGGGTGAACACTCTTCATAAAAAACATGTTTATCCGGGCCACTTCAGGGCTAGCGCAGGGCGGTGCAGCAAAACCCATTGTTGCACTATACCTCTATGCGCCCCACTTTCACCAACCCACACTGACCAGGGTGGTGACATATGGTCAAATAAACACTCCCCAAATGTGCACATTGAGGGGATGCCTTCAACTGGCGGTGGGCTGAAAGTGGGCTCTAATGGTATCTGTATACATTCGGTGATATCCCACTCACTCGTGGTTATTTGGCATGCAGCTTTTACATATTGTCACGGTGGCCAAACCTGACACTGGATTCAAGGCACAATGGCTCATTTCCAACTTTGCGCCAAAAAACTGCTGGTCCCTAACCCAACATACCTGTTTCCTGGTACGAGTCTTTCCCGTGCGCAACTTAATGTAGCGTGCAATCAACTCATTCCGCCCTGCAAGACAAACAAAAACGACGACAAATGCGTGAGCCACCATAATCACGAGAGAACAAGTTGCTCCATCTCTGTAACATTTCGATTTAAATACAGAAACCGCCCCCCCCTCTGCCTCTGTCCTCGTCCACCCGGCAGAATGAATGAGCACTCTGTAATTAGTCGATCGTAGGATCGCGTGTGGTGGTGGTGGTGGTATAAAGTGTCAATGGTCCCATAACCCCTTTTTCCAAGACCTCTGGGTCAGCGTGAAAGAGTCGAACCAAATAACCCTCCCCTCCAGAGGGGCCTCTCTAAAGCTGCCTCCAGTGGAAGCCTTTCTGTCAGTAGTAGCGTGACCAAGCAATAACAGGGCTGCTGCACCTTTCTTTTTAACTTTTGTCTTTTGGTTTTCTGCAGGAGACTGAAATACTTGATTAATAATCAGTTCCTGGATCCAGTGGCGACTACAACAAATATATATTATGGCAGGTGTGGCGAGGTTTTGCTGTAAATTTGGAATCCATCTCTTTGCCAAGGGCAACATATTGGTAATGTCACTCGGGTTATACTGCTTGTGGTCCCACAGTAACATCCGAAGACATTCAGGTTCCTGAAGAATCTCTCAGCGCACGGAACGAAACGTCAAGACATCGTGCCGAAGGACGCACGGTACCAGCTCAAAAGCACATTGGAAGCTCCACAGCACATCCGCGAAAGCCTACACAGTCGTATGTGTCAATAACGTGCCAAAAACATGCAAGCACGTATAATAATGCCATGATTAATCATGGATCTCAGGATACATTCGACAGCTCAGTTACTGTGAATTAGATTCTACGTTAAGAACGTACATATGCACCACTCGTAATGACACAACAGCAAGTTAACCACTACACGACTATTGCACGAAGCTAAGCAACGTGGACATTGCCATGAACCCTTTTTAAAATTACGACAATGAAAAAGAAAACACCTTCACAATGTTGGTCATACGTTTGATCAAATGCTATATTTCAACTTCAGAGCGACCTTGATATGACAATGAATAATATATGCAGGTCTACGACACAGTAATGCGCTGGAAATATAAAACCTCTCAAATGAATGCTTTACATACCCTATTCACAAAAAAGAACGGGGCTAATGCTTTATTTCATAACGGTGTTCTCTCAGCATTTTGCAAGTCAGTTATATTTAATGACGCTTATTATAGCCGAATGCTGCCATGGTGTAGCGGTTTGCACGCTGGATTTGCAGTCCAGAGTTTTCCCAGTTCGATCGATCTCTGAGCGCAGCAAGTTAAAACAATGGTGGCAGTTTATTAAATACAGGTAGTCCTCTACTTACGATGGAGATGCGTTACGACGACCCCATCGCAAGTCGAAAATATCGTAAGTCGAAGATGGCCTAGCCTACCCAGGAGTCTTAAAGAATGGTGATAATTTAGCAAAACAGAGAAATTTACAGTACCGTACTGTATAAACGATATACTGTATGTATTTATTAATTACAATACTGTATTGCACAGTGAAATGTAAAGTAAAAAAAACAAGGTCAATTCTTAGCCTGCAATTTAATAGAAAGTTTTTTTCAGGAAACAATCCTATCTGCTATATAATTTTTTTTTTTACATGCATTGAACGTATCGTATCGTGGTAACCCTAAAATGAAATCGCTAAAGCTACGTATCATACATGCATGGAACGTATCGTAACGTATCATATTGTGATGTACTCACCGAGATTCGTACGCTGCTGCGTTTGCCTGCCGCGCGAAATTTAAAATATTTAACAATTTTGTCGTATCGCTATCGCCATCGTAAGATCGAAATATCGTAAGTTGGACCATCGTAACTCGAAGACTACCTGTACCTCCCCCACCACAACACCACCTCCGCCCACCCAGCAGCAGACATGGCTACATCAGAGTTAGTCAATCGGCAGATCGTGTGTGGTGGGGGGTATGGTGTGGGTACTCCCATCCCTTCCGATGCATTTGGATAGCGTGGAAGAGTAGACCAATGACCCCCGATTGGGGGGGGGGGGCCTCTCTAGAGCTCCCTCTAGTGGAGGCCCTTTCGCCAGCAGTGGAGTGAGCAAGCAATTTCAGGGCTGCACCTTTACCTTTTGACCGTATTATATCCCAAAACCAAGGAACACGTTTGCATTTGACGGTAAATATTTTCGACTCTCCGTAAACATTTCCAAAACGGTACGGACGTGAATGCGGATCCTCAAAATTGCTCCAGTCTTCTGTCATTTCAAAGTAAGTTACTTGTAAAAAAACACACGGGAGCCTTGCATCAAATGGCACTCTATCTTGACAGGTGGGCAGTTTTTATTGGAATTATCGTGCCTTTTTTATCCTGACAAATCCCAGAGCAGCAATTTGCCGGCCCTTATCTGAAAAGCTCAAGCAAGAGACAGCCATGGCAACCCTTGTGCTAAAAAAATTGTTCTGGAAGCAATCAGACCGTTATTAAATATATAAAAAGCAACAACGGCAAAAAGAAAAGCCCAACTCGATCAACATTAAGAAAGCGCGCGGCCGATTTAATTCCACAATTGTGCCGGTTGCCTCGCTGAGGACACCCATACAAGGAACTCACTCAGCTGGGTTAAAGTAAGCTGTACACAGTGTTGGTGTGTGTGCACAGCAGACGTATCCATTGAACCCAGTGAGAAAATTAAAGTTGGCACACTTACCGTGCTATACGTTTTGTCCCCGGGACATCTGGCACCTGCCATATTTTAATAGATTATTTAAACAAAGGCACACACCACCGCTACACAATGAACTTCTGTCACTCGCACAGTACTATAGATTTCGGTCCCGGTTTGATATTTGGTGCCTGAAGTATGAAACTATACATTTTACATTGTAAATAATAGGAGTAAAATACAGCCTATCATTTTACTGAGCCAATCCACTGTCGCGTCGGCCACGTGGCTTGTGTAACCATACTTCACTCTGCTGGTCAGTACGGGTTGGTAAATGCAGGGGGGCCAGGACCGGTTGAGATATCAAATCGCCACCAGTGTAAGCCATGGCCAGGATTTGAACTCGGCTAGCTGGGTTCACGGTGCGGAAAGCTAACCAGCTACCCGAATGCTTTAACAATTCGCATTCTAAACATGCGAGCGTGTTGTATTTGCCTTGCAACGGCATAGAGTTTCAGCAGGTAACCTTGAGGCATAACTTATAGAACTTACAGAGAAAGGGCGCTTTCAGTGAGCGCGAGCAAACAACACGGACCACTTTGAAGCTGAAAATGATTCCTTCGGCACACACACACGTGCCTGCCATGATACAGGTGCAAAAAGTCGCCATGGCTACAAGTTTCCTGTGGACTACAATTAGATGTGTGAAAGGCAAGGATCTCGGTCACTTAGAGGCGCTTTGCTACAGCCCGCATCAATCATCACTCTGCCACCACGAGTTTATTACATTTCTCTGAAGCTAACCCTCGGCGATCGATATCGCAATTCCCTTCCCATGGTCTCGGGATGTCGTCTATCGCTTGGCTTGGCCAACGAGACAGATGGGAGGGGAAAGGGAGACAATAATGAGCCCTTTCAGACAAAAGAAGCGTAACGGGGAAAAATGAAGGGAATCCTGCTGTACTAGTAAAAAAAAAGCTATGAAGGACATCCATAACTCTCAAGTCGGACTGGATAGTTGTAAGAGGGGTGGGTGACCAAATATACCAAAAAAAAAAGAATGGATATAAAATCACGTAGTTAAAAATGACATTGCGCTTTAACAAACGCGCGCGTACTTTTAAATTTCAGGGCATGGCGTTCCATTAAACTGGGGGGCAGCATTAGCCCAGTGGTTAGCTAAGAATCCGCTAACCCCAATTTGACTTCTGGCCACGGCTAACGTTGTACACATACTCCGACCTGCATTGCTCAGCGCGGTGATGTATGGACAAACAACCCCGATTATCACCCACGGCATTGAGAGGGCTTTAAAATCCAGCATTGGATTGACCCAAGGCCGATTAAAACATCAAAGGCCGATTTGTGTCCGACTGCCGCTGCACACCATCGATGACTGGTCAGATGGGGATGGTTTAGTTTTATTTGTATGTGTTTGGAAATTTTTTATCTATCTTGTACTCTGCACGCCGATCGTGTTTTTGTATTGTTTGTTGTTGTAAAGTTCTTATCAGCCCTGACTGGACATCTGTGAAAAAAGAGCATTATAGCGCATCGGATTCCTCCAGTATAAATAAACATTCTGATTCTGAAAATACAGTCTGGTAGCAGTGTGCAGGAAAGTGCATCCCCGCCGGGACTGTGATTTTCAGAAGTAGCTCTGTGAAAGTCTCTTGGGTAGCCAATCTCGGACACGTGGGCGTCCGCACTAAGCTATGATATTCCCGAATGGATTTGTTGTCTCCCGACGCGGATTCCAATACGCGTGCCGGAAATATAATCAGGAACAGGCCCAAAAAAATACATATCACAATTTGACTTGAGGTCTTGCAATCCCAACGGATGGTTCTACTTGTGTTTATGTTCAGGTAATTGGCCCATTCATGCACATTTGCCAACAAAAAAAAAAAATTCAGATTCTGAGACCAAGTGAAGACGGACAGTGCTGCAAATTCGTGCTCACGCCAATTCTGACAGAAGGGCCTCCGATTAGACGGTGGCAGTGAGCTCTTCGAAGATAATATTTTGGCCGACCCCTCCACGCTGGCCACACACCAATGGAAGAAGTGCGAGCTACGGTAACTTCACTCCGCCACTATTTACAATTTTTTTTTTTACCAGGGTAAGGCCCAATTGAGCTGTATAGGTCTTTTTTCAGGAGCGACCTGGCCACAAATGATAATATCCACAAAGTGACTGATCATGTGGAAATTTATAGCAGCCAAAATGTTTCTAAAATGTGGAGGGAAAAACCAGAGGGCCCAGAGAAAAATCCACACAACCACGGGTTGAACATGCAAACTCCAAATATAGAGCAGCAGGCATCAGGGTGGGGATCAAACCCACGACCTCTTGTAT